ACATATGTATGGGATGGAAAATGTATGAGAGATATGATGTTTAAGTGAAGGGCACATAACGGCACTATGTTTCCCTGAACGGTTATTTGCACGAGTGAGCGCCAACATCGTTGGCGGCTGCCGGACATACACCTACAAAGAGTTACAGCTCCTGCGAGGAACATCCGTGTACTCGTTCTTTAGGAAGGAATCGGACCCTTTTGTTTCTTTACCCACCTTGTCCCGATTGGTCTCACCGCTCCGGGGGCGCGAATTTACCTCTCCCACTAAAGGCGGGTTTCTAAACCTTTAACAGGCAAGCGTTTCGTAACCCCTAAAATCTGGCCTCTATGTGTACCCGGTCGGAGCTTAAAAGGATGCTTCCGCGGCCCGCAGCCCATCTTAGACCGTTCCTCGGACGTAACTTGTCAGGGAAAGCCGCCCGTAGCTACTGCGAATCGTAGGAACTATATCACGAGACCTCGTAGGAAAGGAACTGTACTCTTTTGTGGGACACGCATAGAATAAGCGGGACAGTGCAATTTGATACGAGTGCCTAAGCGACGAAGATTCTAGGTACCCGTAGGGCAGCAGTTGTTATTCCTAACGTATATTCTCTTGATTCTCATCTTTATTTGTTAAGATTGTACATTTGTAGAGTTTTTATCTTTCATTCTTTCCGTTATTTATTGCTCATCGTTTTATGGACCACATCAATGATTCGAACAAATGTCACATGTCTAAACTAACAAACAAACATAAGATTAAAAACATAGAAATTATGAAAACCACTACGAACCACACACATGACATTGTAATTCGACAGAAACCGAGCAAAAAGACGACACTGTTACATTCACAGGGGAGACACCCCTGATTATTTCCAATAAACTAAATTATATTTAGATTATATTTTTAACTAATAGTAGAAAAATAAAGATGAGAAGGGGTGAACAATGGTGTCTTCTGAAGAGGTCTATTTATTATCGGTGCATAACATAGAGACATACGACTGTCTATAAGAGAGAGTCCACTAACATAATAGTTATATAAATTGAGATAGTAGGTCAGACAGTTATGGTTATAATCTGTCAATATGGTCCAAAAATCCTTGTTTGTAATAGAATTGTACTATATCGACTATATCAACTTCGCCATATATGTCCACAAAGGGCGAGTCTCATCAAAGAAGTAATCCGGAAAGCACATACTAGAACCCAGTACTGTGAGACCGCGTCCATGTTCCACTACAAACCTACTCGCTCCTTCTATACTTCCATTTCGATGACTCATTAACGTGACAAGAGATCTCTACGTTTTCATGTGGTGTAGGAAATGAGTTCATCTTCATGTCTATGAGCACAAAATTCTTATGAGACCCACTTTTCATCTCTCATGACTGATTTCGAGCAACATGAGCTTCCAGTTACATTGTCTCCACACTCTTACATCGAAGTCATTTTTCTATGGCGCTATTGATCGTCGGGAACCAAAAAAGAATTGCTCATGGACTGGGAGGGCAAACTATATTATCTTGCCTTGCATTACAGTAGAATCGAATCACTACTTCACACAGCGCTACACATCAGCAGGAGAGGACTCTTTAAAGTAGAGACACTACATACTGATATACACCTGAACATCAGCAGGAGAGGACTCTTTAAAGTAGAGACACTACATACTGATATACACCTGAACATCAGCAGGAGAGGACTCTTTAAAGTAGAGACAATACATACTGATATACACCTGAACATCGGCAGGAGAGGACTCTTTAAAGTAGAGAAACTACATACTGATATACACCTGAACATCGGCAGGAGAGGACTCTTTAAAGTAGAGAAACTACATGCTGATATACACCTGAACATCAGCAGGAGAGGACTCTTTAAAGTAGAGACACTACATACTGATATACACCTGAACATCAGCAGGAGAGGACTCTTTAAAGTAGAGACACTACATACTGATATACACCTGAAGATGATCATAATAGGGCCCCTTTAAACATAGGCACACATAAAGAAAGGACATTTCTGTGTATACAGTAGTTGACGTATCAGCCAGATGGGGAACCAAAGGGAAAGCTCCTAGAAGAGAGATGGTATATCCTCTTGGGAGCATGAAACTGCACTTTAAAATATCACAAATTAATCGTGGTGGCATTTTAAATGTTTGTATTGTTATATCTGGCTCATTACTTCACACAAACCTATTTCGATTACACCGCTTTCTTTTGGTATATCGTATCCTCAAAACACTTCCTAAGCATACTTCAAAAGACTCAAAATAAAACAGGTGATATCAAATGATTCTGGTTTATTATGATCTCTGTAATCCAGTGATTGATGATACTTTCCTTTGTGGTGTCTCCTGACAGAAAACAAACCATTTCACTTCTTGGATCTGGAACTAACATACAAGAGAAATAAGAGTATCATGTAGCTGGATGGGATTTTACAAATAATGCTGGCAACGTTATTAATAGCCTGAGAATGGTAGTTGTGTTAATCATTAACCTGCAATTCTGTCAGAAGAAAGTGCCTTATCTTCCTGCCAATGTTATCTGACCCAGACAAATCTGTGTCTTTTATAGAAAATGTAGTTTCTAGTCCATACCCATCTTTCATCTCCTTATATAGTGATATTATTCAATGAAAACAATTCAAATTCAATTCAAGCATTTCATTTTCTTTATTTAATGTCATTCCTTAAGTTGAGCAATTCAAATTTTAACTGACATAATTCGATTTCAGTTTAATCTGACACTTAATTTGGCCCATAATCAGATCAACATCTCGTCCACGTCAGAATTAGAGCTGGTATCAGTGACAGCACGTGAGAGCATCAGTCAGCCTAAGGGAATTACCTCAAACAGAACAACAACTGGATATTTATATCAAAAGCATCCTGAGAACTTGTGGCTTAGCCGGTGTAATCAGGTTAGCAAAGCATCTCCTGTGGGGCAGTAATCTGCTCTGATGCCCTGTCTGCTTCCCAAACATTGAGTCTGCGTCAGGCTGCTCCGTTCCTGCCCGCTCTCTAATTCAATTACTTTAGTTGACTCATGTCCTACTTAACGTCCAGGCAGCCAACGGCCTGATTATGGAAGCCACAAATTGTCAAATAGCAAAACTGAATAAACATTTATGTCCCTCAAAACTAGCAGGGTTGTAATTATGCCTTGTAATGTTATTTCACAGGACGGACGGAGTTCACTTCCCAGATCATCGACGTGGAAATTCAAACATTTCCTCATTCTGCAATTAGACTTTACAATGAACTCTTTTGACCAACGTTATCCCTTATGTTTGTGGAAATTGTTGATGCCTTGAATTCCACATGATCCAGTCTTTCATCACGTTGTAATCAATGAACACAGATTAAGACTCACATGTAAGCATATTGCTAAAATTACAGTTTTTTTGTTTTTTTAAATAATAAGAGTATGCAGCTCAACATCTCTGTGCATGAGGCAGGAATGGATGATATTAATGTGTTTAGATAAGTAAAAACATTTACATTATGGAAGCTATTTTTAATAAATTCAAGAGTTTGCATGACTAGATTTGTTGTACAAAACTTACAGTGTAAATACATATTTTTTTCTTACCAATTTGGTATTTGTATCTTCCCAACACTTGATTTAGTTCCTGCAAATAACTGTGCTGTGTATTAAAATTGCACTTGTGTGGTAAGACAATGAATGAATTAGCTTTCATATTTAGATTTTTTTTTTTCAGAACGTTTAATCACTGGTTTCCATAGTAAAGTAAATATGGGAAGTCTTTGATAAGGTTATACAGGATAATATAAGATATACAAAAATCGTATTTAAAAGTGGTCATTTGATGTTATTCTGCCATGTTAACCAAGTCAAGGCTATGATGTTTGTGCAGAGAAAACAGTGATACTCTCTGGGATATAAAGGTAGATCTGGTTATATCTCAATTTTATTATTTGCAGTTATGTTTACCAGCCCCGTTTGAAGTGAGGTTTAGTTTAGTTTTGTCTGTAGAAACAATACTACCAGAAAGATCATAGGCTACTGTCAATAAAGACACAGTTAGTCTTGTCTCATAACTTTGTTTTACCATCCTTGTACATGTTTACATGGTCAATGGCTCCTAAATAAGTTTAAATGTCTGCCCCCTGTTCAATACAAATTTCAACAGAAGTGTATTATGGCTTGAAGTCCCATCGTTTGGCCACTAGATGGAGCTACATACCCATACATACGAAGCTCACTGCCTCTTCCATTATGCAATTATCTCTCTGGCTATGAACTCTGTAAATACAATTAAGCTTATTAGACACCTAATTATGATTCATAAATGTGTCTTATAACAGCATTTGGCTCCGAAATCACAAAAGAGATATACGTGTCTTAAACAGAAGACAATAAGCTTCAGTGTACAATCTACAATGCATATCAAATCAGATTAACCCCCCAAAATTAGACCATTTTAATTAAATAAAGTGTTATTTCTACAGGAAATTGTAGCACAAATAATTAAGTAAATATTTAATTCGTTTTTTTTGTAGACTTAATCATAATGTATGATATTGTAAGGTTAACATGGTACTCAAACATTATTTTCAAAGCAACCTTTCACAGTTTATACAAATATATCCTCATTTTATGCTTAGTATAATAATATATCATACAATCTGCATTTACCTATTTTTCTTCTCAGAGAAACTTCCATATCCTGAGCTCATTAACACAATTGTAACTCACATTATTATAGTAAAGGGATTATAAGGCTCGTGGCATCGTTACCTGTCTGTTTTGATTGACACCCTCTCCTACATAGGGGATAACGGGCTGCCTACACAATGGAGGGGAAGGCGGTGAGGGGGCGGGAGGAGCTGCGCTATCCAATGGGATCAGGGATGGGAGGGAGTTTGAGGAACTCCAGCTTTGTCCTAACTTACTGGGACTCCTGAGCACAATATGACTGAAGCGCCTGCACCGTTATTCCACGGGACGGTGCGTAGGCTCAGCCGCTCACTTGCGCCCTAACTCTGGATACACTTTTTTCCACGCATTTCCAAGGAGCCAGGAACTTATGTTTTGTTTTGTCTTTCAAGGGAATAGTCAGATTCCGTTTTGAAAATGCTTTTTTTTGCGGAGTTGAATTGAAACTTCCCTGATCTGCAGGAATCATTCTCTCCCCATTCAGAGGGTTTTGTTGCATTGGATAAAACAACACTTCTGGAGTACTTTGGAACACTGTGGAAGGAGTCGCTGCTGTGTTTCCCATTGAGTTTTCTTTAACGTTTGCTGGAATATAAATGCCTTTGTGACTCCTCGGTAAAGTTGATGCATCATAGGCATGGACTCTGTCTGAGAAAGGTGGACTGCCTCTCTGACCATGGCGCTCACAGGTAGGGGATTTGGCCGGTTCCATTTGATTTTACTCCTGTTATGGACTCTCTCGCAGTACTCAGTATCCAGCCAAGTCCGACAAGAGTTCCAGGTCCTGGAGGAGCAGCCCATCGGCACCTACGTGGGCACGATAGAGACCAAGCCCAGCTTCACGTACCGCTTCAGCGAGAACCACAAACTTTTTGCAATTAACGGAACCACCGGAGTCATTTACACCTCCTCGGTGATTGACAGGGAGATTTTGCAAAGTGATGTCATCAACGTCGTGGTGCTGTCCAGCCAGCCCACCTACCCCACTGAGGTCAGGATAGTAGTTGTGGATATTAATGACAACTCCCCTGTGTTTCCAGACGAGTCTATTGTGGTGTCTTTTAAGGAGGACGCCAGCAGTGGTAGACAAGTGATCCTGGACACTGCTACAGACTCAGACATTGGAAGTAACGGAGTTGATCACACTACGTACAAAATAGTGAAAGGCAACGAGCAGAGGAAATTCCGCCTGGATATTACAGTCAATCCTAGTGGAGAGGGAGCATTCTTGCACCTGGTTTCCACTGGAGGCTTGGACAGGGAAGTTTCTCCCTTCTACCAGCTCCTGGTTGAAGTGGAGGACAAAGGAGACCCAAAAAAGTTTGGTTACCTGCAAGTAAACGTCACTATTCAAGATATAAATGACAACCCCCCTATTTTTGATCAAGATCAGTATCAAAACAGTGTCTATGAGGATGCAGCAGTAGGTTTTAGTGTCCTGCAGATTACAGCATCAGATCAGGATGAGGGAGCTAATTCTGAAATCAGGTACTTTTTAGATGAAGGGACACCTTTTCAAATTGACCCCAAAGCTGGTACTATTATTATAAAAGAGAGTTTGAATTATGAGAGTAAGAAAGAGTACTCCCTCACTATCCATGCAGTTGACAACGGTGTGCCCTCTCTGTCAGGCAGGACAGAAGCCACTATTAAACTTGTAGATGTGAATGATAATGACCCAGTGGTGAAGTTTAGGTATTTTCCCACAACTTCTAAATTTGCCTCCGTTGATGAAAATGCACAGATTGGCACAGTTGTTGCTTTGCTCACTGTTTCAGATTCCGACTCCCCCACAGCTAATGGCAACATATCTGTTTCAATCTTAGGAGGCAACGAGCAGAGACACTTTGAAGTGCACACGTCTCCTGTGCCCAATTTAAGTCTGATCAAAGTGGCCAGTGTGTTAGACAGAGAGAGAATTTCCTCATACAACCTGACTGTGTCTGTGTCGGACAATGGCAGGCCTATTGCTCGCTCCTCTTTTGCAAGTCTGGTTATTTTTGTGAATGATATCAACGATCACCCCCCTATATTCCAGGAAACGCTGTACAGAGTAGATATCAGTGAAGACATACCAAAAGGGAGCTACATTAAAGGGGTTTCTGCAACAGATGGTGACTCTGGGCAGAATGCCAACCTGCGCTACTCCCTGGTGTCTGGAAACGCTTTGGGCTGGTTCTCCATCAGTGAAAACAGTGGTCTGGTTACCAGTGCCGCTTTGTTGGATAGGGAAATAGCATCTGAAATTGTGCTCAACATTAGTGCCAAAGACCAGGGGCTACAGCCCAAAATGTCGTACACTAAACTCATAGTCAACATCACTGATGTGAATGACCAAGTGCCCACATTTACACAGAGCACATATCACGTCTCCCTGGTGGAGCACGCTCCTGCCGGCACTGAGCTGGTGGTGCTGTCTGCATCAGATGACGACGTCGGGGCTAATGGAACTATCCGGTTCTCATTTGATGCAGAGACTCCAGCCAGTGTCCAGGAGCTGTTTCGCCTGGATGCCGTGTCAGGGCGATTAAGCACAGCCGCTGAGCTAGACAGGGAAGATAAGGCCTCGTACTTACTCCACATCCACGCAGCAGACGCAGGCAGCCCTCCTCTGCACTCTTTAGGAAGGGTCAATATCACGCTGAGGGATATCAATGACAATAGGCCAGTTTTCTACCCTGTGCAGTATTTTGCCAATGTGAAAGAGAACGAGCCCTCGGGTTCTTTTGTGACCACCGTTTTAGCCACAGACCCCGATTTGGGTCGAAATGGCACGCTCAAATATATCATTTCAGCTGGAGATGCTTCCAAATTCCGTATTAATAGCAACACGGGAAAAATTAGCACCCTTGTGTCCCTGGATAGAGAGGAGAAAACTGCATACCAGCTGCAGGTGACAGCTGCAGATGGTAGCGGCCTGCGCTCAGACACTCAGGCCATAGTCACTGTTACTGTCATCGACACACAGGATAACCCACCAGTCTTTAGTCAGAACGTGTATAGTTTTGTCATGTTTGAAAATGTTGGCATTGGGACAGTTATAGGGACAGTGTCAGCCACCACTGTGGATTTAAACACAAACATTTCATATTTAATCACCTCAGGGGACCAGAGGGGGCTTTTTGCTGTAAACAGTGCAGGTCAGATCACAGCTTCGAGCCAGATAGACAGAGAGGAGCAGGGTTTCTATCAGCTTAAAGTTGTAGCCAGAGCTGGGGAGATCACAGGAGAGGCCTTTGTTAACATCACCGTGAAGGACTTAAATGATAATGCCCCTCATTTTATTCACGCCGTGGAGCATGTGAGTGCGGTGGAAAACTGGAGCACAGGTCATGTCATATTCCAGGCCAAAGCTTCAGATCCTGATGAAGGCACGAACGGCGTGGTGGCTTACAGCCTCAAACAAAACCCCAAAGGCCTGTTTCATATTCATGAGAAGCACGGCCTCATCACGCTGACCGGGCCGCTGGAGGTCACCACAAGCTCTTACGAGGTCGAGGTCATCGCCTCAGACATAGGGGTCCCCCAGCACACCTCCAGCCTCATCCTCATCGTCAGTGTTTATGACGTCAACGACAACTCGCCTGTGTTTGACCAGCTTTCATATGAGGTCATCATCCTGGAGTCTGAGCCTGTCAACAGCCGCTTTTTCAAAGTGGAGGCCACCGACAAAGACTCTGGACTAAATGGGGAGATCATGTATGACATCGCTGGGGGCAACACAGGTGATGTGTTTGGCATTTTTCCAGACGGGCAGCTGTACATCAAAGCAGAGCTGGACAGAGAGATACAGGACAGATATAACTTAGTGGTGTTGGCCAAAGACCGGGCTGTGGAGCCGCTAAGTGCTACTGTGAATGTCAGCATCATTCTCGATGATGTAAACGATAACCGTCCCCTTTTTAACAGCACTAATTATGTGTTTCATTTTGAGGAAGAGCAGAAGAGGGGGTCGCTTGCTGGGCATGTTTTTGCCCAGGATAAAGACTATGGCCCCAACAGTGAGGTCAGATATACATTTGAGACTCCGCAGCCCAACTTTGAGCTGAACGCCATCACAGGGGAGTTGACCAGCACTTTGCAGTTTGATCGCGAGTTGCTCATGAGGCAAAGGGGCACCGCAGTTTTCAGCTTTGTGGTCGTCTCATCAGACCAGGGTCTCCCAAAACCCCTCAGAGACCAGGCCAAAGTGCAAGTTTACATTCAAGACATCAACGACAACCCGCCTAAATTCACCAAAGACATTTACCAGGCCTCCATCTCAGAGTCAGCTCCGAACATGACACAACTGCTGCGGGTCTCGGCCTCCGATGTAGATGAGAACAAGAATGGACTGGTTCATTATTACATCTCTGAGGGTAACGAGGAAGGACAGTTTACTATTGATAGCAGCACTGGACAGGTCACTTTAATAGGGAAGCTGGACTATGAATCTACTTTTTCCTATTCATTGAAAATTATGGCTGTTGATGATGGAGCTGTGCCTCTGTCCTCTTCTTGTATGCTCAGTATCAGCATCCTGGATGAGAATGACAACTCCCCCTCCTTCCCTAAATCCTCCGTGTCTGTGGACGTCCTGGAGAACATGAGAATTGGGGAGCTGGTGGCCTCAGTGACCGCCACTGATGCAGATTCTGGTCAAAATGCAGACATAACTTACACCATCACAGCCACAAACAACCATGGCACTTTCAGCATCAGCCCCAACACTGGCAGCATCTTTTTAGTTAAAAAGCTGGACTTTGAAACTCAGTCATTTTACAAACTCAACATCACTGCAAAGGACAATGGCAGACCTCCCCGCTCTTCATCCATTCCTGTGGTCATTCAAGTACGGGATTTTAACGACAACCCTCCCATATTTACCCCTGGTGACATTTTCAAATCAATCGCTGAAAATCTTCCGCTCTCAGCCTCAGTCATGACAATAGCAGCTCATGACACGGACGCGGACATAAACGGCGAGCTGGAATACTCCATTGTTCAGCAGATTCCCCGGGGAGGCCACTTCAGGATTGATTCGAACACCGGGCTCATATACACCAGCCGAGAAATCGACAGGGAGTTCTCAAATCTGTTTGAGCTCACCATCAAAGCCACCGACAAAGCAGTTCCAGTTGAATTCCGCCGCTTTGCCCTGAAAAATGTCACCATATGGGTCACAGACTTAAACGATAACATTCCAACTTTCATATCGCAGAATGCTCTTGTGGCAGAGCCCAATATCGTTACTGGATCCATCCTTACAACCGTTTTGGCCTTTGACCCCGATGAAGGGTCAAACGGAGAGGTGGAGTACGAGCTCTTGGAAGGGGACTCTGACACTTTCATCATGGACAGGTACAGTGGAGATATTCGCCTGGCCTCCCAGCTGGTACAGTCCCGACTCATGTACATCCTCACAGTGTCGGCCACCGACCATGGCAGCAGCCGCAAGACCTCCAGAACTGATCTGACCATCATCCTTCAGGGGCTGGATGGGCCTGTTTTCTCCCAGCCGAAATACATCACTATCCTGAAAGAGGGCCAGCCGCCGGGCACCAACGTCATCTCCCTGGGCGCCTCAAGTCCTCGTGGATCAGCGACCAAAGTGGAGTATTTCATAGTGGCAGTTCGTAGTGAAGGAAAAGCAGTGGGACGCCTTTTCACCATCGGCCGCCACACTGGAGTGATACAGACGGCTGCAGAGCTGGACCGAGAACAAGGCTCCGACCTCTACATGGTGGATGTGTACGCCATCGAGACTGACGCCAGCCAGCCCAGAACACAGCGTGCTGAGGTTAGTACACTGCTGACTTTTCTATTCTCTACAGGTACTGGAAAGCCACCTTATATGTTGCTATATTGGTCTATTTGATCTGTTTGGCAGCGAGAGGGCATGAACTCACTTACTGGCATTTGTTATAGACATTTGGATGGAATAAGTTAAATGAGATCAAGGTTTAAAGTGGAAAAAATTGGGAGGGAGAGTTTCCAAGTCACACATAAAACCGAGCCACCTATTGCATTTGTCTCCTCATTAATTAAATTCCTTTTGTATGCATGTCTCTGCATTATATTAAATCTTAATTTTCTTGGACGTGAGTAAGAAGGCCTTGTTCTTTGGCACAATAAATGTGTTGTCCCTTTTCCAAAAAACATACTAGCCTTTACAATTCATCTTGAGTGTGTCTCTTCTAATATTTGAGAAGTCTTGGAGAGGAAAGGGAGTGTTGCATGTCTTCTACACAAGCGCCTCTCTAGCTCTCATGAACTGAAATGTTCTTATCAGCGGATTTTAACTGCTCAAATCAAAGAAAGGACCATTATTTCATTTCCCCACTGTTGACATAAATTATTCAGATCTGCTGTTTCAGGTTCAAGGCCCACGATGGGCTCCCCAGTGTCTGAAATGGAAATGAAAAGAAGAGTAATTCATAAGGTCTGTGAGTGCAGGTATGCCTCAACAGTGCCAATATTACTTTGAGCCCTTGAGCCTGGGGCTGTTGTGGCACTCGGGTGGTCTTGGGGTACCTTTATACCACCGGGAACCGCTCCGCAGGCAATAAGTGACCATTACAATTGGGTGACCTCTTAAGACTCTGTGAAAAGACGCTGAGGGCAGAGAGAGTGAAACTTAAGCTGTCCACTGAGTTTGTATTATGCGATGCACTTTTTTTAGGCTTTCCTTGAGTTAAATTCTCTGAAGTGTAATGCAGGAACCCTAGATCCAGTTTTGGGTGGCTAAGGCCTAGCCGCCAGTCAAATGAAAAACAAATGTGAGATATATGTCTTGGAAATATTAGCCAGGAATTTAAATTGTTTAAAACAAACTTTATGACACACAATGCATGTAAACTGGACTTTTATGAATGAAAACAAATAGATTTGAGATGTTTGTCCTTATCTGAAATGTGTTTCTGTTACAGCATCTCGTTTTTTAAAAGTTTAAGATATCTTTGGCGGTTGTTAGTGAGGCCTTTTTTTGAAACTTAAATGTAATACGGCAATCAGTCATCTGGAGACAACTCACACATTATTGAAATTGAGGATTACTTGGCAAAATCGTGTTAGCTAAGTTAACTTTAAGGTTTGCTTGGGCCAAATGGGAATATCAAATGTTCTCTCACTCTGCCTGCAGCAAAGATGGCAATCTGCTTCCCTGCAGACTCTACTGTTGGGCTAATGAGAGAATACAGTGCTTCAGTGCTCCGTTCCCAAACCTTAAATTTAAGATTGGTTTCGTGCTAAGCTTGAACTTTCTCACCCCTCGGAGAGATGACTTTACCACACCACCTGGCTGAGTATTCAGTCTCTCCAGTTTGAGAAGCGTGAGATCTAATAACTTGGAGGAATTCAAATGACCTTCCACGTTTGGAAGTGTGGGCTGTTTTTTTTATGCTGAAATGCAACAGCCAGTTGTTTTTTTTTTATATAGTTTCTATTTTAGTTTTCAATGTAGTGGCTGTTGTTTTAGGAGTAGTAAATGAGCAAGTTATATTCATACTATTTGTATGTCCTCTGTCAATGAGATCTCAAAGGACTGTGTGGTAGAATAGTGTAAACCTTCAGACTTAGACTAATGTTTTTCCAGTGCAGTGTTTACACACCAGATACCCGGTAGCAACTGGGGGATTATTTTCACCCCTGGGGTTGTGACCCTTTCCCATTCTCCATTTCCCATTCTCCCCATTGATTGGATGCATGAGGGGAAAGTTGGCATTTTTTCTTCTTCTATGTGCCATGTGTGATATTTTGGAAACACTAAAACAAAGAGAATTTGGTTGGACATGGTTTATCGACGGTCCTGATCTTAAACAATTCAAGACCCTGCTGGGCCTGCAGTGGAAATAGTGGAAAGAGTTTTTTTTTTTGCTGAGCCTGGCTTCTCAGAAAGTTTCATTGTCAGTGATTGTTTATTAGATCTGTCATTGCGGTGCTGTCAAGCAGAGGTTCCCAACCCCCGGGCCATGGAGGTGTTACTGCTGGGCCGCGAAAGAGTTTATCGTAATATTTGCAGAATTATAAATATATAAAAATTGGCAAAACAGGAGAGTCTGTTAACCAGTCTGCCTTGATCTATGAATTAACGTCCGGGACTCTCACAGTATCTGCTGCCCACTGCTGTTTTATAGAAGGAAAACCTCCTCCTTCACTTGATGAAATGGCTGCAGCATCAGGTGGCAGCGGGACGTGTAACTCCGCCTCTGAGAAGTGCAGCACCAGAGCGCCGAGAGCTGTGCCTTTTTACTGCCTTCACTGTAAAGGACATTTGCCTCACATCTGGGTCATACCGTGTACAGCAAGATGTGCAATGGGCAATTCTTTTAGCAAACCAGTGGTCCTGCTTAGCCTTACAGAAGTTTACATAATCATCTTTGGCTGTTCACTTCAAGTGTCAGTTTGGTATGTCGTGCAAATGACGTCATTACCCAGAAATCTTTGTGTTTCTTCCTCTTAATAGCTGATACAGACAAAGATGCTTAGAAAAAAAAGTCTCTTGGCAGCAAATGCATCCATTGTTGGGGAATCCAGATTCCATTCATTGTGTTCAGGAGGATGTTTTTTTTATTTCACTCCAAGTTTTGAAGCAGCACATCTTCCAATGTCGACGTTTAGAGGTGGGAGAAGCATTGCCCTCCGTATATCACACCGAATAAATCCACACTGAATCACCTACGACAGGAGTCTCTCCACGAGCTGACATTTTCAGTATCAGTTACTTTTTTCTGGCCCCAGCTTCATCAGCGATGTGAAGGCAGGTTTTTCCAATCAGCTGTTTAAGAACAAACACCTGCACAGCAGTGATTATGAACAGAAGGGCAATGTGCTAGAAAAGCTATTAGCCTACTATAGAGTTGCATTGATTTCCATGAGGAATGGTCTTTAGTTGCCAATGTTACTAGAAAAGCATTTGCAAAGCTTAAAGTGAGACAGGTTTTGTATGATATGGAAGTCCTCAAAGCATTTCTCACAAGAAAAACTGCATTTGAGAACAAAACCGAAACATGGTGACACTAGGAACGATTTTAACAGTTATATATATATCCAATATTTATACCAATAGTTTTCATAGCCTCAGTTTGTATCAGACACATATTTTTGCCAAAATATACGTAAAGGCATTTCTTTTTATGTTTGGTTTCTTGAGATCTAAAGAGCAGCACAATTTAGATGTCAGTATATGTTTATGGCTTGTGTTTTAATCTATGTACAAAAGTGAAAGTAATTGCTGCCAAATGTTTAAGTGCCACATTTCAAAACCTGTTTTCTATCCAAAAGATGGTTCATAGCGGAAAGAACGAGAGAAAGAAATACAACCCTGTGATAAGAAATACATCACAGAGGACACGTAGAAGAAAGAAGCTTGACTTTCTTGTCCTCTTGATATGCCGCCTCACATTCAAACCCCGGCCGCGGCCCCTATGGACTGCTACCACTGTTTTCTTACACTCACTGTGAATCAAAATGAAGTGCTGTTATTTTGCGGAGAGGCCCTCAAGTGCCACATCAGTCCTTGCCCCCTCCTCTTAAAGGCATTGTTCCCCCGCTAGAAAGTAAACACAGTCGGAGTGTTCAACAGGCCTTCCTTTGTTTTGCCTTCGCAGATAAAGTGTTGCGCTGCCCCGGCCGTGGATCGGGGGGCTTTTTGTTATTTTTTTGTCTGTGCCAGCGTCTTGCCTTGGCAGATTTAGGAGTGTGTATGGATGCCCCTGTCAGCCAGCTTTCCTCCCCTCTCCTCACCAGAGAGGAACGTACGGCAGAAGTGTTTGGAGTTGATTGAGGAAAGAAATGGCTGGGGAGGGTTCTGGACACGTCAGACGGTGTTATTGGGAGTTGTGGGAATGAAGGAAGAGGAGGGGCGGAGGGAGTCTCTTTCAGGAGGGCCAGACACAGCCGGAGTTGCAAGGAACTATGGGAAGCAAGAGGCAAGGGCAGGGCTCTTGATCATGTCCTAAGCAGGTAGCAAGGGCACTCATTCTTCCTGTCCAGAGCTTTGGGAGATCACAGGGATTGCAGATGGTTGAGGCATATATAGAAACCAGGGTTGATTTCTGTTGCTATGACTGTCTTGATCTCTGTTATACTCATCGTCCCCTTTGTTAAGTTGTATATCTCTGTGTCTTCGCGTGTCTTTTATGTCTGCTTTGTGTCTCTGGGAATCTGTTTGTGTCCCTCTCTGTGTTGTGGATCAGTCTGATTCATAAATCTCACTGGCAAGCAACTTCAAAGTTTGCTTTTCTTTCTGCCTCTCTTTCATTCCCTCTTTCTGCTTTCTCTGTGTTTGTCTGATGCTGAAACCTCCTCCACCATGAAGGGTAATGTGATTAGAACATCAGAGGCGGCATTGAAGTCGTTGAGAAGATAGAAGATGAGATACAAACCGTCAAAGCCAGACAGGTCAACAAGGCAGGGAGAAGAAGGTCTAGGCCAGTGGTTCTCAACTGGTCAGGCCTCGGGACCCACTTTTTACTTAGTCAATAAATCGCGACACAACATTTTTAAGCACTCAAATATTCAACAAAAAATTGTGCTGTAATATATACGCTTTTCAGCATAAAATATTAAAGTGAAGTACAGTGCATATATCCCTTCACAGAACTAAAGTATGCTTTTAAAAAAGGTTTAATGAGATGATGGAATCAAAGCTGAACTGTATAAAAAGGCACACATGCTGAAAACCCAACCCCAGAAGGGGGTCTGGGAGGATTCTCCCCCAGGAGATTTTTAGAAATACTAACATAAACTATGCATTCTGGTACACTGAGAAGAAAATAAAAAAATCTATTACTACGACAT